GTCATAGAAGTCTGGCTCTCTATTTGCAAAAAAAGTAGATTTTCACAATCCTGCAAAGATACCAATTTTTATCATAAAAGAAATTTTGCAATGCAAGAAAAATATGATAATCGCTTGGTGCCAAGTCCGGACTGAATGGCGGATGCATTAAAACTTCCCAAAAAAGTGCCCGAAGTTTCTGGCGAGTCACTGTAGATATGTGTGGTATCCTGGTGGAACACGACACCTCTCCTGTTGGCCAATTCTGGTCAATTGCTATCTTCAAACGGTCCAGTTGTTGACAGTAGGGATCAGAATTTATCGTTTGACCATATGGAAGCAACTCATAATAAATAATCCCCTTCCAGTCCCACAAAATGCATAACAGAACCTTCCTGGCCGTTAGACCTGGTTTGGCCATCGTTTGAGGTACTTCACCGCTCTTTGACCACGATTGCTTTCTAGTCACCATCAGTTTAAGAAATGTGTATATCTCATTCCGTTTGGCCAAGGCTTCGCAGATGGAAGTTCGATTCATCCTATTTTTTTCTGTTAATTGGTGTGACACCAAAACATCGAGTTTACGACTGCTAACGTGTCGCTCAACTTCGATCATTTCTCCGATTTTATCGACATTTTCGACGACCGGCCTAATGGATTTTTTTTTTCCCCCCAACCTAATATATAGAAATAGTACCAAAAATTGTGATGTGTGGAACACACCTATACGATGCCCAACATACCATTTCTTCTTAATACGATTTTAAAGATTTTGAAAAATACAATATTCCTAATTACATTTACATACAAACATACATATACACACATAATCTTCATGACAGATGTTCACATGGAAACACCAGACACACATAAGACGCACAAAATAAGTCATACATTTGAAGATAAATGTGTTAATTTTGGGGAGAGGGACTGTAGTGACATGTACGCACATCATCACCCTGGGAGACAATATTTAATTGGATTACACAGCACTTCCAGATCTTGTATGTATGAACGATACCGTACCATTCATACGAACATTTATGCCGACCTTGGACAAAGATTTCTATGTAAATTGAATTGTTCTCTTTGTGTAAGCGTGCGTGTGTATGCGCATCTCTCGATTTTCATTTATGAAGTATCATTTAAATTGTTGTTGTCACAAAATTATGTGGTCGGTGTTGACGACCTTATTGGCCCCGCTCGTTAAATTAGTGGACAAATCTAATTAAAATGCAATTCTTAATAATTTAAACAAATTGATTCGTTTCGAATACAAACCCCCCTTTAATTGATTTATTAACAGGAAATAAATTAAATGTGTTTATTTTTTAAGTAGAAGAATAAGAAGAATGTTTTGGGCAGTTTCAATTAATATATTATTGTCAATCTGAGATGAAAGATCACAGCCACAAAATATTCCAATTCGCGCGTTTCTGTCGAACATTTATGCAAACGGATCAACCATCAGTCAGTCAGTCATTCGGTTAATATCACATACCATTTGTAAACTATTTCACAATAGCTTAATCATATATGACGATCACATCTCAGACATTTGACACCCAGCAGACAATTGCCAGACAGACTATTTCTTTTTTTATCTTTTGTATAAATATGCTAATTATGTTAATTTAAATACATTATCGTGACAGGAATTTCGCAGTGCTGATTTGCCGACTACTAATCATTTGCGAAAACATTAATAATTTAACAGATCTATGTTAGGGAACACTGTTTATTACCTTCACCACACTGTGGTACAGGATATTATGTCTTTGTGCATATGTTTGTAACAGGAAAATGTGAAAATCGGTAGATTAAGTATAACTCCCATACATAGCTTCGTCCAATTTTAAGTAAATAGTGCATCAAAGTTAAGCCGATTGGCACAAAACGTACTGAAGTTACTATAACATAACTTGTGTCAAGTTGTATTGAAATCAGTTCAGATTTAGATATAGCTCCCATATATATTTTCCTTCGATTTTATGTAAGTGGTGCACCAAAGGCCCATAGTTAGACCGATTGACACAAAATTTTGCACAGCGAACTGAAGTTTGTGTAGTCTAAAGTGTGTCAAGTTTTGTAGAAATCGGTTCAGACTTGAATATAACTCCCAAATATAGTTTCGTCCGATTTCAAGTAAATGGTGCACCAAAGACCAAAGTTCGGCCAATTGCCATGACATTTTGCACAACGTACTAATGTTAGTATAGGCTAACGTGTGTAAAGTTTCGTTGAAATCGGTTCTGATTTAGATATAGCTCCCATATATAGTTTCGTCCGATTTGATGTAAGTGGTGTACCAAAGTCTCTATATATCTTTAGATTTGCAGGAATTTTGATATAGCGTACTGAATTGAGTCTAGAATGATGTGTGTAAAGTTTCCTGAAAATCGGTTCAGATTTAGATATATTCTGAATTTTCAAAAAAATTAAATTTCAAGTGAAAATCACAACAATTTTTGAGGATATAGCCTATTTATTGTTGTAGCATCATGTGACGATAAGAGGGCTTCTTAAAATTAAAATGCATTTTCCTCCACACATTGTTTAGAATGATATGTGCTAAGTTTCGTGAAAATCGATATTATGTAAATTGTGCAGTAAAGACCCAAAATTTTAGTAAGTTTATATTTAACCGGATTTCTTTAACCCAGTAGGTTTCAATTATCAATACCTTTGCATATATGTGAAATAAATCCTCATAAAGTGGGTTAGCCCAGTAAAAAGTTCTAATGTACATGCCGTTTTTGTTCGATTGGAATACAATTTTGTACAATTTACTGAACTTAATATAAATTAATCTCTGGCAAGTTTCGTTATATCGGTTCATTGACACGAAATTTTGCACAACGAATCAAATTGAGACTAAAAAGTTTTTTTTTTGGAAATTGGTGCAGATGCAGACTTATCCTCCATACATATTTCGAACGGGAGCCTGATTGAGATTTACTTTTAAACGGTGCGGCATACCGAATAGCGTGTATTCAGCGCTCGCAATGTTCGACATTATGCCGATATCATCCACGTAGGCTGTTTGGTGTACAGAGTGTCCTTTCTGTTCAAATTTACATTTCGTATGACATTTTCCAGCAGGATTTTAAAAAGTTCACATGAGAGGCTGTCACTTCGTCTGAACCCTCGTTCAGTATTGAAGGGCTCCGAGAAGTCCTTTCGGATTTTAACTGCTGACCTTGTGCCAGTTAATGTTATTCTGCATAGTATTAATTTTGCAGGAATGCCGAGCACAGACATGGCTTTAAACACCTTTGAGTAGATAGGGCTGTTGATGCGAATAGGTGGATTGTGTCGATGTGCTTTTCGTCGATCTTTTCCAGGATTTGGCCCAGTATGAAAATCTGGTCTATAGTGAATTTGCCAGGTCTGAAGTCGCATTGATATGATCCTATAATATTATAGAACCCTGGCAGCGCGCTGGATAGCACTTTATATGCGATGGGACGGAGACGAACTCATCTATAGTTGGTACACATCGTCTTGTCTCCTTAATGTGGGCATGTATTACTCTAGCCAATTTGTTCTAATCAGTTGGTGCATGCTCCTGATCAGTGTTTTACTCGTTGGTAAAATTTCCGGAATTCATTCTGACTCCTGTACGTCTCCATTTTTTGATTTGTTTCGTTTGGTTTTGTTTGTTTTGAAAATATGTTTATCATCTGTCCTTTTCACCTGACAATTCTCCATCACATTACGTATTGCTACTGTTTGCAGTGCTGCCCCATACGCTGCGTTTTTCACCTCAGTAGCATTTCGACACTCCTAATCGTACTAATCGTACAATGTTTCGACGGTTGGGCATTTTTTCAACGGTGGGGTCAAACATATTTTCCCTTCCGATGTTTGCTTTAAAATTTACTAGCCGAATTTTAATGTCATGGTCAGGGCAGCGGTCATATTCTGTTTAATATATCGTAAAATATGTCTATGGTCTGATCATCTTTGTTGTCCGTCGGAACCTAACGCACAATGATACACAATTTCTGTTGTATAAGAACAAATTTTCCATACAGTACCACTTTTTGGTATGACCACCACATATCATTACCGCACAATGAGTATCTGATACTGCTTGTGATATATATTCTTGTATACTGATATTGTTTGTTCTTCTTTAAGGGGACCGCCCATTCTCGGGGTCAAAAATGTTGTTAATATAATTCGAATCTACACTAATTATAGAATGTGCCTACAAAATTTCAAATGAAAATCTCAAGAACTCTTGAAGAAACGCGTTTTTCTCTAAACATTTTTTTGCGAATGGCGGGCACGGTAACTCAAAAACTAATAACCCAATCGATTTCACGTTTCTCTGTGAGGACGTTTCTCTGTGAGTGTATAGCTATCGTATGAACTAGGATAAATCCAATCGGTGAAGATCTTCCTTATTTTTTAACTTGGGTTTTGGTAAAAAATCGGCGATTTTCCAAAAAAATTTTTTCAAAGGTCCACCATTTTGTTAATTTTAGAGCGAAGTCAATAATCCTAGTTCATACGAGAGCCAGACATGTACTCTTTCTAACACCGTTGGAATTTTCGGATTCCGATGTTCCAGTGAGGAGTTATCGTGCCCGCCATCAAAAATATAGACATCTTTAATTACAAAAAACAACTAGCATTGGTATTGATTTACCAGCCCATTGAAAATCTTGAAAAATTAAAATCGAGAATGGGTGGGGTTCCCTTAATATAAAAAATATCAGCTTTCCTAAAGAAAAAAATAATAATGGCAAAAGAATTTGCATATTCCGAAAACAGGTGTCTCAAATTAAGCCATACCATTTGTGGTAAAAAAAATTGTTAAGCCAGCAGAATAAAATTGCTTTGCCATATTTTTTAATTGTGAAATTTTATTCTTTTTTTACAAAGAAGTTAGCAAAAATTGAGCAAACAAAAGAATTGCGTTCTAAAGAAATAATAGGAGATGTTAAATTACATGAACCCAAAAAAATAATACTAATAATTTGACATTTATTTTCAAATTATTTCTGTTTCAGGAACTATGATACCCAAATCTGGCGGTGATTATGCTTATATCGGCACAGCCTTTGGCCCACTGCCAGCCTTTTTATATTTATGGGTGGCTCTGTTAATTTTGGTACCAACTGGAAATGCCATAACTGCCTTGACATTTGCCCAATATTTACTGCAACCCTTCTGGCCCTCTTGTGATGCACCAGCCGTGCCGGTTCAGCTGCTGGCAGCTGTTATAACATGTAAGTGACAAAGCAAACCATATTCAAAATATTAAACATGACACTAATTTCCAATTAATATTTTCAGGTATTTTAACGGTCATCAATTGTTATAATGTCAAGTGGGTAACACGCGTCACTGACATTTTCACCGGCACAAAAGTCTTTGCATTGCTGGTCATTGTGGCGGCTGGTGCCTGGTATATTTTTGCAGGCAATACCGAACATTGGGATGAACCAATGAGTGGTACTTTCTCAACGCCCGGTTTTATAGCATTAGCTTTTTACAACGGCCTTTTCTCGTATTCTGGTTGGAATTATTTGAATTTTGTAACGGAAGAACTAAAAGATCCCTACAAAAATCTGCCAAAGGCTATTTGCATTTCGATGCCAGTCGTTACGATCATTTATGTGATTACAAATGTTGCCTATTTTTCGGTGCTATCGACGGATGAAATTTTAGCTTCCGATGCTGTCGCTGTAACATTTGGTGACAAGATGTTGGGATTTATGTCATGGTTAATGCCATTCTTTGTGGCATGTTCAACATTTGGTTCGTTAAATGGTGCAATATTTGCCTCGTCTCGTCTGTTTTTCGTTGGAGCCCGTAATGGTCATTTGCCAGCTGCCATATCACTTATAAATGTTAATTGTTTAACTCCAGTACCGTCGTTGATATTTTTGGTAAGTTTGAAAAAATGTTTTAAGAAATTGTTGGCTGTAAAAAGAAAAAAAAAAAAACTTAAATTCAAAATAGCTTGTAGAAGGCGGAAGAAATACATTTAATTTTGAGTTTGACCAATTATTATTAACAGCTCACCAGAGCTGTGTATAAAATAGTCAATATTCTTAAACATTTAAAAATGTTAACTTTTTTTAATAACATTCATTTTTTCCACCTCTTTCAGTGCGTTTTAACACTAATTCTACTATTCATCAAGGATGTCTATGCGCTCATCAATTATGTCAGTTATGTGGAGGCTCTGTTCACACTACTCTCGGTTTCCGGTCTACTGTGGCTACGTTACAAACAACCCAAAACCGAACGACCAATTCGTGTCAATTTGGCTTTGCCCATTCTGTTTTTGATCATTTGTCTCTTCCTTGTGATCTCATCGGTCTTCCAGTCACCCATTGAAGTTGGTGTTGGCACAGCTATTATTCTATCCGGCATTCCTGTTTACTATATGACAATACATCGTCCTGTCGAATGGTTGACAAACACATCGCAGGCCATCAATATGTGGTGTTCGAAATTCTTTTTATGTATGCCCAATCAGGAGAAATTCGATTAAGAAATTATATTAGGGAATAAATTATCATTTAATGTTATAAGTAAAGAAGAAACCATAAAGACTAATTGAGAAATATTTATTGTAAAATAGAAGAAAATGAAAACAGTTAAAATAACAGAAAACACACTCATCAACAATTACAAATTGTGCCTTTTGCCTCGCAAATAAATCTTCAACATATTTGCATTAAAATATTTATTTTCTCAATTTGTAAAAAATTAAATTTTTCGCATATATTTCTTTTTTTAACTTTCTTTATTATTATCTTTCAAGTTCTATACCACTCCAAAATATAAGCAACAAAAGGCATTTACAATTATGTTATGTATGTACTATAGCATATATATTTATTTTGTACTACATCGTATATAGGGAACCTTTAATGTACACATCATTGAATTTAGCTTTTAAGATACTTCCTCTTTTTATTAAGATATAGATGCTATATACTTCATTATGTAAAGTAATTATTTTATATACAATACATAGGTCAGTCAATTATTGTAAAACTCGAAATATGTTGAAATTTAAATTCAATAAATCAAATACATACATAAATACCTACAATATTTGCGGTGAATCTCATTGGCAAGTTTGAATTTTGTGGGGGTTTTTGGGGATCGGAATGAATGTAAATAAACAAAAAACAAAGTAGAATTTTTTCAAATCAAAATGCTTATCAATAAGTTAGTTCAAAAGTGTGGTTAAGAGGCTAGGGAATGTCCACATAGTTAGTGTTTGTGCTTTGTTCCTGAAACATTTTTAGTGTGTATAGAAATAACCGATGTTATTGTTGACTCACGATAAAGATATTCTGAAGAAAGACGGGTTGTATTAAAATTGATCTGGTCTGATTTATTAATTACAAATAATTAAAGTTTATACGTCTTTATAAAGAACTAGCTGACCCGGCAAACGTTGTTTTGCTTTATCAATATTGCATCAATATAAGATTGGTAAAAAACATTTGCCACTAAGTTTATGTCAATAAAAAGTATTAACTGGTACCCCAATGCAGGCCCAAGCACATAACAGTATATAATTTGGTAGAATTTATTTCACCAAACGTTTTTTTCAAAAGAAGATCATGTTCTGTTATTGCTTCAACGTTTTCACATTATTTTATTTATCCCTTCTTGAAGGATTCTTAATTACAATATCATTTTTTTCATGTCCAACTGTCCTTTTGATTTTTATATTGAAATCAGTACATAACTCGAAAAATTTAAATCCTGAAATGTTTTTGATCGGATTTGTTATATCCTCACATTTTAAACAACTTGATTTTAATTTAACATTTGAATAAATTGTTGTTTAAGGTTACATAGGTCCAGATCCAAATTTCAAGTTGGCGGCCAAAAGAAGAAACATTGTCGAACAAGTAATACACTTTTTGACAAATATAAAAATGAAATTTCATATCCAACAGCTTGGGCTCTAAAGAAAATAAGACAAAACATTAAATATCTGACGGGAATACTAATAATGCTATCATTACCATTATTTTCATCGATGTTAATAATCGCATTATTAGTATTAGAACATACACATATTTTATGAAATTAGAAGTTTTGATCTAACTCAAAAAAAAAAAAAAAAAAAAATACATATGTCTAAAAAACAACAATTTATTTAAGGGGGAAGCACATAAAGGGGAAAAAGAAGAAAGAACAAGAAAAACGTGAGCGTGAGCAAATCGAGATGTACAGGAGTCAGAATGAAGTCCGGAAATTTTACCAACGAGTAAAACACAAAACCGAAGGCTTTGGTGCAGGTTTCCTTCTTTATCTCCTGTAGAGATGAAGAAGGAATCCTGGTGACAGATACAGACAGCGTGTTGAGGATCTGGAAGGAGCATTTCGAAAAGCTACTAGTATCAAATAGTGGCGAGGAAGAAGATACCCCAGAACCAATAAGAGATGTTGGTATAGAGTGAATACCACCCAGCCAAGATGAGGTCATAAAAGCAATTAATCGGCTCAAGAACAACAAAGCAGCAGGAGCCGATGGGTTACCAGCCGAACTATTCAAGACTGGTGGCCAGATGCTGGTCAGGAGCATGCACCAGCTGATTTGGTTAGATGAATACAAGCCCAATGATTGGAACCTCAGCATCCAAAAAAAGAGACAAAATGACATGTGCCAACTATAGAGGAATAAGTCTCCTTTCCATCGCATATAAAGTGCTATCCAGTGTGCTGTGTGAACGATTGAAGGCAATGGTCAATGACATCATCAGACCTGGCAAATCCACCATTGACCAGATTTTCACTCTGCGCCAAATCCTGGAAAGGACCCACGAAAAACACATCGACACATACCACCTATTTGTCGACTATAAAGCCGCATTCGACAGTCCTATCCGTTCAGAGGTGTTTAAAGCCATGTCTGCGTTCGGCATTACTGCAAAATTAATACGGCTATGCAGGAAAACTCTAAGTGGCACAAGGTCAGCCGTTGTCAGACAAGGTGACAGTTTGTCGTGTGATCTTTTTAACATCCTACTGGAAAATGTCATACGAGACGCAAAGGTGAACAGAAATGGCACTCTGTACACCAAACAACACCAGTTACTCGCCTACGCCGATGACATCGATTTAATGGGTCGAACATTGCGAGCGGTAACAGCCACCTTTGAACAAATTGAAAGAGAGTCTGCCAAAGTGGGTGTGGCAGTAAACGGCGAGAAGACCAAGCTGATGGTATCAACGCGCAAGACGTCCAGTAGACTCGGACCAACTGTGGAACTTGAGAACTACAGCTTCGAGGTAGTTAAAGACTTTATATACCTTAGTACCGCCATAAATAAAACGAATGACATCAGTTTTGAAATTCGGAGAAGGATTGTGATGACCAACAGATCCTACTATGGTCTAAGTAAGAGATCTAAGCAGATGAGGCAGATCTTGGGGTGTTTGAGAGAAAAATGCTCCGATCTGCGTCGACGGTGAATACCGGCGTCGTATGAACCACGAGCTTTACAATTTATACGCGGACATCGTCATAGTCAGTCGTATTGAGCTGCAGCATGGCTAGGGCATGTTGTGCGGATGAATGAAGATGCCCCAGCTCAAAAGGCATATACAAATGAGCCTACTGATGGTTCCCGTAGAAGGGGAAGGCCACGAATCAGATGGAAAGACCAAGTAGAAAACAACATCTTGGAACGTGGTCTTCCAAATTGGTGGACTTGCGCACAATACCGACGCGCTTGGAAATCTTTTTTAAGCTCGGCTTATGGAACAACCGCTCTGTAACAAGCCAGCTAACAACAACACATAAAGGGAAAAACACATTCAGGCCTTGCCTGTTATGTTGGCTTCGTATAAAATGTCAAATTTTAAAGAATTATCAAAGTCTTAACAATTTATTTAAACATTTAATACTTCCCAATGCAATTACAAACAGCCCAAGAAAAACGTGAGTGAAATCGGTACAGTCAATATACCATGCAAACATTATTCACATCTTTAAAAATACATTTGAGGAACCATAAAGGCACATATAAGTTAGACACAAACAGCATGTAATACGGAATTGCCTCCATGTAGGATTCGAATTTAAATGTATTCTTCCCGAATATAAGAAAATTTTCAATAATACCTTCGTATTTTGTTGACTTATTTCTAATCGTATATAGCGAATTGCTAAAATCATTGAATACGTTGATAGACTTTTCGTTTTTACAAAAACATAAAAACAAATGTCTATGTATTGGCAATTTTCTTTAAAAATATTCCTGGTGTTGTTTCCTATTAAAACAAATAACGATAGCGATTAATATTACTCTCTCTCTCTTTTCGATTTCTTATTATTAAATTTAACTCTAATGAAAGTATGAATTTATTTTCATATACAATATGTTAATTTTCTGTAGAAAATTAACATATTTTGAGAATTTTCCATAAAGGTTCGATATAAAAGATTTTTGTGGATTTTTCTCAAAATTTTATTTCATAAAAACCTTCCCACTGTAATTACCGACAACTGAAAGAAATTTTGGGTCAAATCGGTCCAGCCGTTCTCAATTGATGCGTTAGTATACATTTTTCTTGCTCCATTTTTATATATAGACGTTATATGTTTATTTTTCAATCATTTAATCAATCGAGGTTATCACGTTAAAATTCATAGAATCGCCTGAAAGTATACTACAAATTTCACAGCTCTCCTATGAAATATATTATGAAAAGTTTAAAACAAATACAGTATTTTTCGGTTAATTGCACATCAACATTTGCACAAATTTTTGTTCAATTAACCGAGGAACCAATTATTCGAACCCGCTTAAAAGTAAAACCCGATGAAAAGTAAAAGGAAATTTATTTTTGATGATATGAATTTTGAACCAATTAACGGGAAAATCAATTAACAGGGTTTAATTATCCGAGAAAATTTACATGTATTTTCCCATGGTATAATAATAGAAGGTAACAGCAAGTGTTGTTGTACAAAAAACGATACAACAACCACATGTAAATTTGTTGTTGTAAGTTCTACTAGTGTCAACTCATTTGACAGAAAAATGTAAACAAACAAACAAGTTATCATCAAATTATTTTTATTTTGAAAATGAAATATTTTAGAATCCTCAAAATAAAAATTGAAAAACATGAATGAAAATCTATCAAATTTATATTTCTATCGCTTCCACATCTTTCCTATAATTGAGCCATTGCCATATATATGCGTAACACGTATGAAAATGCTGGGAATAGCGAGTTTTTCCATGAAGAAAGATTTGCTTTCTCAAACTTTCCCAGCAGGCAGATTGAGTAAATTGAATACAGGAGCACATTTTATAAGGAACAATTTCAAATTGTATCCGTTCCCAATTTTCCTGTTGGGTGATTTTTAAAAACATAATTTGTCAAATTCATATTGACACTAGTATAAAGTTAGAATCAAATCAGCTGGTATTTGCTGTTACCTTTTATAATTGTACCATGGTATTTTCCTATGAAATATTTTTGCCCCATCATGTGGTTCAATTAAGCGTGGAAACCAATTAATCGAAAAATACTGTATTTAGAAGAA